AAAATCTGTAGGGGAAGGAAGGTGGGGTAGGAGTCGTCCTCAAAAAGGTCGGAAGGAAGGGGAGGCCTGGTCACAGACCGGGCCGCGGGGGCGTTGACCCCCGAAACTCTCTCCAGGTAAACTCTCTCCAGGTAATAATAAAAGTTTGTTTTTCTTTTGGGTCACCCTGCCTTGGTTGGAAACGGCCAACATGTTAAAAAAAAAAAATAATGTATTTGTCTACGGATAGAGAAATGTATTTTCATGTTTCTACCAAAGATTTATAGTATACCAAACAAAATTCAGCACATTTCTGGCTACTACTGTTTCTCATTCTTGTAGCAAAGAGATAAAAATCATTAATTTTAGCTTTGCATCATCCTTTATAGATGATACCAAAATAAGTTTGAATGTTCCCACAGTAGAAGACAAATATTAAAGACAGATATCAGTGAAGTCATACAGTAGGCTGAGGAAAAGGAAAATAGCATGTTCAGAGGTGACAAGATCCAACTGCTTAGATCCAGACAGAATGAAGTTTTAAAAGTGCAGGCATATGTCCCATAGAACCAAGGAAACATGTAAAGAACTATAATTGTCTGATGATAGTACATTAAGAAAAAAAAAAAAAAGAAAAATGGCAGGTAGGATTATGATCTTCAAATTACTCTCTCTCTCTCACATTTAGAATATTATTCTGTGCTCAAAGCAAGTGTAGAGAAGTGGTTTTCTGCAGTTTGACATTCTTTTAGAGTATATGCACTTTGTTCCATTTATGAAGATATTCAGAAAACTGCTTAGCCATACTTGAGTTCTGAAGGTAGGAAACACAGTGCCTGGTATCTGTCCACTTCTGGAAAGGAAGCTTTGTATTCCCTTAAGAAAATATATTTTTTTTATTTATTATTATCACACTTGTCAATTCCCACCAAGGCAGGGTGGCCCGAAAAAGAAAAACTTTCACCATCATTCACTCCATCACTGTCTTGCCAGAAGGGTGCTTTACACTACAGTTTTTAAACTGCAACATTAACACCCCTCCTTCAGAGTGCAGGCACTGTACTTCCCATCTCCAGGACTCGAGTCCGGCCTGCCGGTTTCCCTGAACCCCTTCATAAATGTTACTTTGCTCACACTCCAACAGCACGTCAAGTATTAAAAACCATTTGTCTCCATTCACTCCTACCAAACAGGCTCACGCATGCCTGCTGGAAGTTCAAGCCCCTCGCACACAAAACCTCCTTTACCCCCTCCCTCCAACCTTTCCTAGGCCGACCCCTACCCCGCCTTCCTTCCACTACAGACTGATACACTCTTGAAGTTATTCTGCTTCGCTCCATTCTCTCCACATGTCCGAACCACCTCAACAACCCTTCCTCAGCCCTCTGGACAACAGTTTGGTAATCCCGCACCTCCTCCTAACTTCCAAACTACGAATTCTCTGCATTATATTCACACCACACATTGCCCTCAGACATGACATCTCCACTGCCTCTAGCCTTCTCCTCGCTGCAACATTCATCACCCATGCTTCACACCCATATAAGAGCGTTGGTAAAACTATACTCTCATACATTCCCCTCTTTGACTCCAAGGACAAAGTTCTTTGTCTCCACAGACTCCTAAGTGCACCACTCACCCTTTTCCCCTCATCAATTCTATGATTCACCTCATCTTTCATAGACCCATCCGCTGACACATCCACTCCCAAATATCTGAATACATTCACCTCCTCTATACTCTCTCCCTCCAATCTGATATCCAATCTTTCATCACCTAATCTTTTTATCCTCATAACCTTACTCTTTCCTGTATTCACTTTCAATTTTCTTCTTTTGCACACCCTTCCAAATTCATCCACCAATCTCTGCAACTTCTCTTCAGAATCTCCCAAGAGCACAGTGTCATCAGCAAAGAGCAACTGTGACAACTCCCACTTTATGTGTGATTCTTTATCTTTTAACTCCACGCCTCTTGCCAAGACCCTCGCATTTACTTCTCTTACAACCCCATCTATAAATATATTAAACAACCACGGTGACATCACACATCCTTGTCTAGGCCTACTTTTACTGGGAAATAATTTCCCTCTTTCCTACATACTCTAACTTGAGCCTCACTATCCTCGTAAAAACTCTTCACTGCTTTCAGTGACCTACCTCCTACACCATACACCTGCAACATCTGCCACATTGCCCCCCTATCCACCCTGTCATACGCCTTTTCCAAATCCATAAATGCCACAAAGACCTCTTAGCCTTATCTAAATACTGTTCACTTGTATGTTTCACTGTAAACACCTGGTCCACACACCCCCTACCTTTCCTAAAGCCTCCTTGTTCATCTGCTATCCTATTCTCCATCTTACTCTTAATTCTTTCAATAATAACTCTACCATACACTTTGCCAGGTATACTCAACAGACTTTTTTTTTTTTATTATCACACTGGCCGATTCCCAGCAAGGCAGGGTGGCCCGAAAAAGAAAAACTTTCACCATCATTCACTCCATCACTGTCTTGCCAGAAGGGTGCTTTACACTACAGTTTTTAAACTGCAACATTAACACCCCTCCTTCAGAGTGCAGGCTCTGTACTTCCCATCTCCAGGACTCAAGTCCAGCCTGCCGGTTTCCCTGAACCCCTTCATAAATGTTACTTTGCTCACACTCCAACAGCACGTCAAGTATTAAAAACCATTTGTCTCCATTCACTCCTATCAAACACGCTCACGCATACCTGCTGGAAGTCCAAGCCCCTCGCACACAAAACCTCCTTTACCCCCTCTCTCCAACCTTTCCTAGGCTGACCCCTACCCTGCCTATATTTGCACTCTCTTTTATCCCCTTTGCCTTTATACAAAGGAACTATGCATGCTCTCTGGCAATCCCTAGGTACCTTACCCTCTTCCATACATTTATTAAATAATTGCACCAACCACTCCAAAACTATATCCCCACCTGCTTTTAACATTTCTATCTTTATCCCATCAATCCCGGCTGCCTTACCCCCCTTCATTTTACCTACTTCCTCACGAACTTCCCCCACACTCACAACTGGCTCTTCCTCACTCCTACAAGATGTTGTTCCTCCTTGCCCTATACACAAAATCACAGCTTCCCTATCTTCATCAACATTTAACAATTCCTCAAAATATTCCCTCCATCTTCCCAATACCTCTAACTCTCCATTTAATAACACTCCTCTCCTATTTTTAACTGACAAATCCATTTGTTCTCTAGGCTTTCTTAACTTGTTAATCTCACTCCAAAACTTTTTCTTATTTTCAACAAAATTTGTTGATAACATCTCACCCACTCTCTCATTTGCTCTCTTTTTACATTGCTTCACCACTCTCTTAACCTCTCTCTTTTTCTCCATATACTCTTCCCTCCTTGCATCACTTCTGCTTTGTAAAAAACTTCTCATATGCTAACTTTTTCTCCCTTACTACTCTCTTCACATCATCATTCCACCAATCGCTCCTCTTCCCTCCCGCACCCACTTTCCTGTAACCACAAACTTCTGCTGAACACTCTAACACTACATTTTTAAACCTACCCCATAGCTCTTCGACCCCATTGCCTATGCTCTCATTAGCCCATCTATCCTCCAATAGCTGTTTATATCTTACCCTAACTGCCTCCTCTTTTAGTTTATAAACCTTCACACCTCTCTTCCCTGATGCTTCTATTCTCCTTGTATCCTATCTACCTTTTACTCTCAGTGTAGCTACAACTAGAAGGTGATCTGATATATCTGTGGCCCCTCTATAAACATGTACATCCTGAAGTCTACTTAACAGTCTTTTATCTACCAGTACATAATCCAACAAACTACTGTCATTTCGCCCTACATCATATCTTGTATACTTATTTATCCTCTTTTTCTTAAAATATGTATTACCTATAACTAAACCCCTTTCTATACAAAGTTCAATCAAAGGGCTCCCATTATCATTTACACCTGGCACCCCAAACTTACCTACCACACCCTCTCTAAAAGTTTCTCCTACTTTAGCATTCAGGTCCCCTACCACAATTACTCTCTCACTTGGTTCAAAGGCTCCTATACATTCACTTAACATCTCCCAAAATCTCTCTCTCTCCTCTGCATTCCTCTCTTCTCCAGGTGCATACACGCTTATTATGACCCACTTCTCACATCCAACCTTTACTTTAATCCACATAATTCTTGAATTTACACATTCATATTCTCGTTTCTCCTTCCATAACTGATCATTCAACATTACTGCTACCCCTTCCTTTGCTCTAACTCTCTCAGATACTCCAGATTTAATCCCATTTATTTCCCCCCACCGAAACTCCCCTACCCCCTTCAGCTTTGTTTCGCTTAGGGCCAGGACATATTTTTTTATAAAAACAAATTCATCAAATCTAATTTCCTGTTTTTCCAGAAGTTCACAGATATTGCAGGTCAAATGAGCCTCTAAACTGCAACATCCCCACCCAACCTTCAGTGTGTAAGTGCCCCCCACCATACACAAACATGCACAAATGTGCACACATGCGTACACAAGCACACGCGTGCACACACACACACTCACTTGCATTTCTTATGTTATTGGTTGCAGCAACAAAATACATTAGTGTGATGTATTTTTATTTTTAATTTAACAACCATGGTGACATCACATCCCTGTTGAAAGCCTACTTTTATTGGAAATAATGCTCCCTTTATCTTAGCCTTACTATCCACATGAAAACTCTACTTCCCTTAATGACCTTTCAATACTACTAATTCCATACATCTGCAAAATCTGCCACATTGCTCCCCTATCCACCCTGTTATATGCCTTTTCTAATTCTATAAATGTTACACAAAATCCCGTACTTTTATCTGAGTATTGTTCATTTGCAAGCTTTAACGTAAACACTTGGTCTACACATTCCCTTCCATTTTAAATCCTCTTTGTGCTGCTATTTTCTGTCCTACCCGAAATTCTGTTGTGTAGTTGTTTAAATTTTAATCAAGCTTTATTAATGAATTTACTTTCTTACAGGGAAACATTGAAGATATAGCTATGGCAGAGAATATGATAAGTGCTCGCTTGAGGACGAGCTATGAGAGCGACTTGCAAGCATTTGCTCCACAGAGTGCCATGTTCCCAGGTTTACATCCAATGGCTATGATGTCCACAGTAGGGTTTGGTCTCCCGCGTGGCAGTAGTGGTGGTGCAGGCATGGGCATGTATGGATCTTCACCAACCTCATATCCGCCACTTTATCCAACACCTATACCTGGCCAGCAAGGTTCGCAGGGCTCTGAGGTGTGCGAGGTACAGTCATGATGTATTGTTGTTCATTAAATTAACTTCTTATCTTGCTGTGCAGTATGTTAGTAATACTATGATGGTATTGCAGTAATTTATCCTACAGTGGAAAACTTGAAAAGATTTTTAGAAAGTACTTGTGTGTGATTTTAGCACTGATGACAGTGTAATACTAAATACCATAATAAATGAAGTTCTAATTTTTTAAATTAGCTAGAAATACCAGAATTGCCCGGACAACAGTTGGAAGTATCAGACAAAAAGCAGTAATTCCAAATTTTGTTCTTAATGATAGTGTCAGGTTGCCTTCTGAAGGATCAGATTGAGCCCAGTGACTGATGTTTGTTCAGTACGAGCCAGAACAGCCACATCTGTGACTTGTCTGTTTTCATTGCTCCCTGAACTGTCAGACTAACTGGTTTCCTGGGACTCCTAGTAGCTAAAATAGATATGATATACTGTACAGCTGTTAGAAAACTGTTTACTAGTATTTTTCTTCAAGAATTTTTCTGCTTTTATTCTGTAGCCTTTTCCAGTATTTTCACAATCCTTGCCAACAAAATAGGCTTGTAGTTCAGAGGGTCTTTCTTATTGGTAAGTCAAACACACATGCAACAGGTAGGCTTCTTTACTCTGAAATGCTTTGCTTACACAGTAGGCTTCTTCAGTCGAGTACAGAAAGTTGGCAGGAGCAGTAGAGATGTGAAGATGATGTAATCAGTCCCTCACCCTTGAAGATGTAGCTTTGAGGTGGTCAGTCCCTTGGCCTGGAGAAGAGCTTTGTTCCATAGTCTGAAACCATATGAAGATTAACCGACAGTATGGAGACTTGTATACTGTCAGGAGAGATGTAGTCCATTAGTAGAAGAAAAAATAAAGAAGCCTAACTGTTGCATGTGTGGTGTGTCTTACTTACCAACCCGTCGGTATTGTATACCATTTTGATATTTGGTCTTCCTTATTACCTTCTTAAAAACTTGTACAAGGCATGTCATTTTTCCATTTCTTTCCCCCCAAAAAAAAAAAAAAAATGATTTCCACTGTGCATAACATAGTTCATCTGCACATTTTTCTAAGACGTGTACTGCTGTCATGCCTGGTCTTTGTTTTTGTTTTCCTTATTTCTTTGGATATTTTAATGTGTTAGATAGGAGTGAATGGAGACGAATGGTATTTGGGACCTGACGAGCTGTTGGAGTGTGAGCAGGGTAATATTTAGTTAAGGGATTCAGGGAAACCGGTTATTTTATATAGCCGGACATGAGTCCTGGAAATGGGAAGTACAATGCCTGCACTTTAAAGGAGGGGTTTGGGATATAGGCAGTTTCGAGGGATATGTTGTGTATTTTTATACGTATATACTTCTAAACTGTTGTATTCTGAGCACCTCTGCAAAAACAGTGATTATGTGTAAGTGAGGTGAAAGTGTTGAATGATGCTGAAAGTATTTTTTTTTGGGGGGGGGGGAGTTTCTTTTTTGGGTCACCCTGCCTTGGTGGGAGATGGCCGACTTGTTAAAAAAAAAAAATGAATGTTGTTCACTGGACCTCCATTTTCAGTATCTCTCACACTTCCTCCAGTTTGGTGATTTTGTCATGGTCCTTAATTCTTTGTATTTTGTCTTTTGTATTTAGTTTTCATTTTTAAGAATGTTAGTTTTCTTATGTCCATACACTCATTGTACCATGTGTGGCAGTATGAGGCCTTTATCAGAGTGCTGAATGACCATTTGGTCCCATCTAATTTAGATCTTGTTCCTTCCCACCTGTTTTACATACCACCCTTTCTTCCTCCACTTCCCTCCCTGCTTTCTTTTTTTTACTTTACCTCTGCCTCTTCTATTCCTCACCTTTCTTCCACTCTACCCTTTTTTCTGTCTCCCCAACCCCAAATAAGAGCGCAAAGCTATTAGCTGATAATAACAAAGAATGATGTTCTATATTAAATATTGCAAGATGAAGTAGCTTTTAATGGTGGAACATTGTATGTTTCTAAGAAGTATGAAATGTATAGGATCATCTTGGAAACTGCAAAAGTAATATACATATAGTCCTACTTTTGCACTGTAATATGTCATAAACAATTTATTTCATGTTCACTTACAGGAAGTAGCATTCCTCTACATCCCCAATTCTGCAGTTGGTGCTATCATTGGGACAAAAGGATCACACATACGCAACATTATTCGATTCAGTGGAGCATCTGTTAAAATAGCACCTTTGGAAGAAGATGGACGACCCACAGAACAAACTGAAAGAAAAGTAACTATTGTTGGCACTCCAGAAGCTCAATGGAAGGTATGTAAATGTATATATTTTTTATATGTGTAATATATTCTCCATGGGGAAGTGGAACAGAATTCTTCCTCTGTAAGCCATGCGTGTTGTAAGAGGCGACTAAAATGCCAGGAGCAAGGGGCTAGTAACCCCTTCTCCTGTATATATTACTAAATTGGTAAGGAAAAACTTTCGTTTTTCCTCTTGGGCCACCCCACCTTGGGATACGGCTGGTACGTTGAAAAGAAAAATGTGTAATATATATTCTACCCCTCCATGGGGAAGTGAAGACTAGTCCTTCCTCCAGAAGCTATACTTGTCGTAAGAGGCGACTAAAATGCTGGGACCAAGGAGCTAGTAACCTCTTCTCCTGTATAAATTGCTGAACATAAAAAGAAGAAAACCTTTTGTTTTGTCTTTTTCAGGTTACCCTGCCTTGGTGGGAGATGGCTGATGTGTTAAAAAAAAAAAATATGGGAAAACCAATAATCCTACCACGATGCGAAACAATTACAGGTTTCCGTTTCACGCTTACTTGGCATGTCGGTAGTATCTCCCCTGGTTGACCGCAACCACTCAGGGAGGTACTACCATCCTGTCATGAGTGTGAAACAGAAACCTGTAATTGTTTTACATGATGGTAGGATTGCTTGGTGTCTTTTTTCTGTCTCATAAACACGTGGGATAATAGGTTGATCTTGCTACTTCTACTTACACTTAGGTCACACTCCACCTGCATGTACATGCATATATGTTTATGCATCCATCTGGGTTTTCTTCTATTTTCTTAATACACTGGTACCCCGAGTTTCAAACTGCTCCCAACTCGACCAATTATGTAAGTGCTTTTCTAAGTGTATTTTTGGGGGTCTGAAACGGACTAATCTAATTTATATTATTCCTTATGGGAACACATTTGTTCGGTAACGGCACTTGAACAGCCTTCTGGAATGAAGAAAGTTCGAAACTCTGGGTACCACTGCAGTTCTTATTCTTCTTTATTTCCTTTTATCTTCGTGGGGAAGTGGAGAAGAATTCTTCCTTCGTAAGGCATGTGTGTTGTAAGAGGCGACATAAATGCCAGGAGCACAGGGCTAGTAATCCCTTCTCCTGTATGCATTACTTAAGTTAAAAAGAGAAATTTTTTTTTTTTTTTTGGGCCACCATAGCCCACATAACAGATGTAGTGGAGGAATCTTCTTCTTCTGGGGAAAGTAGTTCCCTGGAAGCAGGGCTGGGTAGCCCTGGCTTTGGATACTAAGAATTATAATGCAGTCCTAGAAACTGCACAAATTGAGAACACCTACCAAAAATTTTACCCAACCAAAAGTGAAATTGTGCAAATTCAATGTCTGGGGTATCTATAAGCATGGAATATCAGGAAAAACAAATGGGACATGCACCTTTGAGCGTCCCAAAAAATGTCGTGACCTGTCTAAAGGAGTGTGTCGTTCTCCCTCTTGTAAATTCTTTCACCCAGAAATGTGCCACTCTTTGGTCCTCCAAAAACAGTGCTACAACACCAGCTGCCCTGCATACCATCTAAAAGGGACCAGGAGGTACAGACCTCACAAGACAAACAATAGTAGTTAAGACAACCCCACTCCAAGTCATTTTTTAGTGGCAGGAAACGAAAAAAGAAAATGGAAGGAAATAAAAATAGTCCATCTTGGAGCCTTGTTGGACTGGAGGCACAGCCAGTGGCTCCCCATGGCCCTCCAGAACCACAACTACTGATGCCAATAACAAAATCCCCCCAACAAACACAAAATACAACCTCGTTTATATTTGCTAATATACAGGGCCTTAAGCCATCCACCAACAACAAAATACCTTTTATCAGTGGACTTCTAGAGGAGTCAAATGTGATGTTTGCAGCCTTCACAGAGACCCACACGAAAGATCACTCTGACAACGAAATATGGATAAATGGGTACAGCCTTTTTAGATGTGACAGAACAGGCAACAAGGTGGGGTTGGCCTGTATTTCAGAGTCTCGTCTGCACAAAGATGCTGAACACCACAAATGATGTAGTTGAAGTTCTAACAATAAAGATCGAGAACCAAAACCTAGTCATCGTGGCTGTATATAAGCCACCAGATGCAACCTCTCAACAGTTCAAGGACCAGCTATTGAAAATTGATTACTGTCTGAAAAGCCTTCCAGCTCCATCCCCAAACATCTTACCTAAGGCATACAAAATGGAAGAATGTAGCAAATAATGTTATAGCAGAAATAATCCCTGGAGGCAGCGCAGATGAAAGGTCACACACACACACACACACATGGGCTGCTAAATCTCTTGAGATAAACACACCCTAAGTCATTGGGTAGTGGAGCCAACAAGACTGGAAAACAATTGACCTTGTCTTCACAAATATTGAGGACCTGGTAAGAAACAATATCAAAAACAACTAATTCCGATCACAATCTAATCTAAGTTTAGACTTACATGCACAGGGGTCCTGATCAGCAAAATGCACGTAGCTGTGAAGATGTCTTCACTAAATACAACTTCAACAACAACAACATCAGCTGGGACCAAGTGAACCATGTCTTAAATGAAACATGTTGGGAAGATATCTTGAATAACATGGATCCAAACCAGTGCCTTGAAAGGATCAACTTCCTGGCAACTGAAGTATGTTCAAGGCATATTCCCCTAAGAAAGAAGAGCAGGAGTAAACTGGAGAGAGAGACGCTCCCTCTACAGCAGAAGACGAAGAATCACAGAGCTCCTCAAGAACATTAGATTATCTGATACATGGAAGGAAGCTCTGACCAGGGAAGTGGAAATATTGAACTTAGGTTAAGGATTCTTACAGGATCCAGGAGAGACAGGAGGAGCTAAAAGTGATTAGTGAAATTGAAAGAAATTTGAAATGTTTTCATATGCCAAACATAAGGCAAATACTACATCTGTATTGGGCCCTTGCTCAGACAAGATGGGACTTACACAGATGACAAAAACATGAGGGAGATACAAAAATCCCAATATGACTGTGTTTAGCGAGCCACTAAAGATCGAGAATCCAAATGATTTTTTCATGAATGAGCCTCAAAATTCCATCAATGTATGTCAGATTTCTGACATTACCCTAACTCTGATAGTCTTTAAGAAAGCCATTGACAACATGCTCGTGCACTCAGCCCCAGGCCCAGACTCGTAGAATTCTGTGTTCATTAAGAACTGCAAGAAACCCCTTTTGTGTGCCCTAAGTATACTATGGAGAAGGAGCTTAGACATCAGTGAAATTCCAGTCACTAAAAACAAGGGATATAGCCCCACTCCATAAAGGTGGCAGCAAAGCATCAGTTAAGAACTATAGACCAATAGCTCTAACATCCCACATCATGAAAATCTTTGAAAGAGTGCTAAGCACTATTGCAAACCACTTGGATTTCCAAAAACTGCACAATCCAGGGCAACATGGAGTCACAGCAGGTTGCTCCTGCCTCCTCCAACTGGATCACTATAATATGGTCTTGGATGCGCTGGAAGAAAAACAATTCAAATGTAATATACACAGACTTTGCTAAAGTTTTTGACGAGTGCGATCATGGCATAATAGCACACAAAATACGTGTTAAAGGAATAACTGGCAAAGTGGGGAGCTGGATCTTCATCTTTATAACAAATCAAGCACAAAGAGTAGTGGTAAACAGAGTTAAGTCGGATGCTGCTATAGTAAAAGCCTCTGTTCCGCAAGGCACAGTACTCGCCCCCATCCTGTTCCTCATCCTCATATCAGACATAAGCAGAGATGTAACCCTCAGCACTATGTCATCCTTTGCAGACAATACTAGGATCTGCATGAGACTGTCATCTGTTGAGGACACGGTTAACCTCCAAGAAGGTGTAAACCAAGTTTTCCAATGGGGAACGGAAAACAATGTGATGTTCAGTGAAGACAAATTCCAACTACTCCGTTACGGAAATCTAGAGGAGAAAATAACTAGAACTGAGTATACTACAAACTCTTATCATACAGTAGAGTGGAAAAATAATGTGAGGGACATAGGAGTGGTAATGTCTGAGGATCTCGCTTTCAAAGATCACAACAGTGCCATGACGTGTACATGGTATACAGGCTAGCTGACATCAGTGACATACTACTATATAGAAAGCTGCTTGTTATGCTGAGCATTTCAGGCAAATTAGGTCAGTTTTGTCCCTGGATGCAGCTCTCACCAGTCGACTAACACCCAGGTACCCATTTTGAACTGATGGGTGAACAGGGACAGGGACAGGGACAACAGGTGTCTTATGGAAACGCGTCTCTAATATTTTCCAGCCGTACTAGAAGAGATTCGAACCCTGGACCTCAGTATGTGAGCTGAGTGTGGTAGTGATCGAGCTACAGGACACCTTCAGGATGGATAATGAGAATGTACAAAAAAAGATGCCAAGTCATTGATGACCCTTTTCAAATCACTTGTTCTCTCTAGGCTGGAAAGCAGGTGAAATTGCAGACCTAGAGAGTGTACAGATAACCTTTACTGTACATATAAGTTCTATCAAACACCTCAACTACTGGGAATGCTTGGAAGCACTGGACTTGTACTCGCTGGAATGCAGGTGAGAGAGATGTATCGTAATGTACGACTGGAAAATTCTAGAAGGGATGGTCCTGAATCTGTACACAGAAATCACTCTCTGTGAAAGTAAAAGACTGGGCAGGCTATGTAAAATACCCCCAATGAAAAGTAGAGGTGCCATTGGTACACTAAGAGGAAGCACCATAAGTGTCCCGGGCCCAAGACTGTTCAACAGCCTCCCATCATGCATGAGGGGAATTACCAGTAGGCTTCTGGCTGCCTTCAAGAGGGAGCTGGACAGATACTTAAAGGTAGTGCCAGATCAACTGGGCTGTTACTTGTACATTGGACTACGTGCTGCCAGTATTAGCAGCCTGGTTGATCAGACCCTGATGCACTGGGAGGCCTAGTCGTGGACCGGGCCGCAGGGGCATTGATTCCCAGAATACCCTCCAGGTAGGTAGACCTTGCTTCGGTGGGATACGGCCTGGTTTGTTGAACGACGAAAAAGAAGTGGAAGAACATTCGTTTTTCTTTATAGGTTATGCTTTCTCAGAAAAAAATAACTTTCTGCTCATTTAATTCTCCAAAGCAAGACTTCACAAAAATTTCTTTGCAGCCATTATGTTCACGTCTTTGTATACTTGCAAACTTGTAGCCTCGAGTATTGTTTAGTCCTCATAGTTTACCCAGTGGGTGGTTTCAGAGATTATTACCTATAAGGTAGGGTCTCAGATCAGATCTCCATGTTGATACCCTGCTACATCAGTGTGTTGATGCTCTTTGCATGTAGTCCAATGTAGGCACCACATACCATCTGTACAGAAACTTGAGTAACATATTAAGTTCCTTGTTTTAGATAGGGCTCTCTTGGTAATTCCTTTCATATTTAAAGGAAGAGTGATGAAAGGCCTTGGCAGGGTGACCTGAAAAAAGAAGAACAATTAAAATTTTACTTCTTTTTACTTTAGTAATTTATACAGGAGAGAAGGGGTTACTAGCCCCTTGCTCCCAGCATTTTAGTTGCCTTTTATGACATTGCATGACCTACAGAGGAAAGATTCTTTTACACATCCACATGGAGATAAAAAGAAATAAGAACGAGAACTATTAAGATAACAGAAGAAAACTCGGATGTATGTTTATACATGCAAGATGTACCTATTATCTTTCATATTTATGGGACAAAAAAACACTGGCAATCCTACCATTGTGTAAACCAGTTACAGGTTTATGTTTCACTATTGTGCTTGTCTAACCAATTTTCTCTGGAAATAGAATTTTGGTAATAAACTTTTTTTTTTTTTTTTTTTTTTTACTGGATTAGATTACTTTTATATATGAAAGAATGCTTGATCTAAATTTTTATTTTTAGGCACAGTTCCTGATCTTTGAAAAAATTCGTGAGGAAGGTTATGGTGTTGGAGTCGAGGATGTGCGATTAACTGTCGAGATTGTTGTTCCATCTTCACAGGTAGGTTGTTGTTAAGAATATTTAATAAATGTTATCTGTATGTTAAGATGACTTGCTTGCTATTTCTTTGTCTTTCAACTGACTAATATGAAATAATTTTGTAATATTGTATTTATTTTTTATCCTAAATTTGGAGTCTGCTTCCACAGAAATTATCCATTTTTACCTGCTTGAGTTGGCATGGTGGTAAACTCCAGCTCTTCATCCTATCTATTTAACTTTTGACCAGCTGTCATGATTGAATCCTGTCATGTCTTTCTTTTTCAACCCCTGTAAGGAGTCTGTTTCCACTCTGTTATTGCTCAGCTCATTCCACTTTACCCCTCTTACATTGAAGAAATACTTTGTAATATTCTTGTATCTTGGGTATGTAGTTTTCTCTCTCTCTTTTTTTTCTGTTAAATAGATTATCTCGTGTATCCTTTCTATGCGCTAGAGAAATCAGTAGGTTTTGACCACATTCCTTATAGTTCTTCATTCTAACAGAGACAGAATGTTTGGTTTTCTAGATATCCTCTTCTTTGAACTTTTTACTGTTTCATTTAGTGTTTAAGCCTTTTAACTTGTGTATGAGTTGGTGCTTTGGGCATCATTGAATGGGTGTAGCACAAGAGATAGGTTATTGATTACTGTGTAAAATTAATTATTTAAAGGGTTTTTGATAATGTGGTTATGGGTTGATGGTATATTTATTAATAATGGAAGATTTAAATAATATAATATTGGCCATCTCCCATCAAAGTAAGATAACATAAGAAATGGAAATACATTCATCATCATTCATTTAATGGCTGTTTTGCCAGAAGCTAGGTTGTTTTGCAATTAAAATGACCTCTAAACTGCAGCATTGAAACTAATCCCTCAGGATGTAAGTACTGTACCTCCCACTTCCAGGACTCATGTCTGGCTAACTGTTTTTTTCTTAATCCCTTCATATATGTTACCTTGGTCACATTCATTGGAACAATGGAATTATCCGAAAATAGGGCTCAAAGTGAGCGAAATTGCCGATTGGTAAATACCGCTGAGGTTGCTAACTTCACAAGAGCATAATTCCGTCAGTTTTCCATCAAATTTCGTTTTTTTGGTGTCATTACAATCGGGAAAAGATTCTCTATCAGTTCATAATTTTTTTTTTTTTTTTTTTTTTAATTTTGCGACACCAGGAGACACCTCAGGATGGGGGTTGCGACAGTCAAGGGGTTAAAGGAGAGGTTTGGGATATTGGCAGTTTGGAAGGGTATATTATATAACTTTATATATGCTTCTAAACTGTTGTATCTGGGTGCCTCTGCAAAGACAGTGATTATGTATGAGTGAGGTGAAAGTGTTGAATGATGATGATAAGTATTTTCTTTTTGAGGATTTTCTTTCTTTTGGGTCACCCTGCCTCGGTGGGAGGTGGCCGACTTCTTTCTGTAATATATCTTCCATTCTATCAGTGAGACCAAGAAATCGCAAATACAACTATAAAAAACACGAAAAAACACTGCAAAGTCGCTGTTTTAATCGAAAATTACGGTCTCAGTTTTTTCCTCTCATTATGCACTGTGTGCTGCAGGATTTGTTTTATGTGGTGCACACATACCACGTAGATGTATTCTCTCATATCTAGGCCAAAATTTACCGCTCACAGCTTATCAGAGTTGTTTAATGGGTTTATTGGTGATGCTGCAAGCGGGGTTCAAATGATACGTTTTCTTCTTACTTTATTGTTAAGTCGTGGTGGGTACACAGGCTTGTGTGTTGTGCGCATGGCCCGGGCAGGGCCATCCCACGAGAGGAGGGAGCTACTAGTAGGCCTTGTGTCTTCCTGCTGGGCCTCTGTGTGAGTGAGGCAGAGGCAAGGGCAGGCAGGCTGGCGTGCCCACCGAGAGGCCTGGCTACAGAGGGCAGCACCTTAGTGCCGCGAAATATGAACTAAGCTGGCAGACAGTACAGGCTGTCTACATACGCTCGGCCACCTACCGCGCGTCGTTCCGCCGCGACAATACTGGTGGTAAAAAAATACTCGGTCTCTCTCTCGTAGGAACAGGGCACAGAACACAAAATAAAAACATATATATACATATGGACATGGAAAAAAAAACTTCCTACAGGGAGGGAAGAAAAAAGCATGTGGGGTGTGCTAAACATCGTGGTCATAGGCAGTGAGCGTTGAAGGGCATCACAGCACGCCTTCCTGCGTCTGGACAGATACTGCAACACAGGAGACATCGCTGCGGCTGAGCTGTGACGTAACAGGGTACGGTCTCCTCTGGAACGGTGAAGCAGTCATCGTAGGAGTCGCTTCAGGTTTTCACTCGGCCTGGGGCACGACATGCTGGTGCCCTCGAGTGAGGCGTCGACAAAACTCGGCAACTGGGCACGACTTCTGGCAAGCGACTCAGGAGGACACTTCTCGACTGGTACTGTCGCTGGGCTGTCACTGCTGGCGAGTGTGGAGCGAGTCGTGGCAGAGACGACTGGGGAAACAAGAGAGCTTGGGCTCAGGGCTGTCTGATAACAACTGTCAAACGCACTGGTCACATTGGGTGACTTAGCACAGTGGTGCTACTCAGGTCTGGCTCAGACCTCACTGGACACACGGAAACTTTACACACACCCGCGGTACATGCGGTACGCTAACATGTGAGAACACTGACTGAGAGGAATTAATTAACACACGACATATATCTTCTCTCAATCTTCTCAACAATACTGAAATAATTACTGAACACTCGATGGTGACATCATCTGATGTCAGGCGTGATGACGTCAGCAGCACTGTGACGTCAGGCAGACATCGTGACGTCATGAAGTCGGGCAGCATCATTGGTGACGTCATAGGGGTGATGCGGGCAGCAGACCACGGCATGTGGCCTGGGACATCTGGCTCGGTAACTCACGTGGTTTGTAGATCCACGTGACATCGCCCACACCCACGTGGCATCGTGATCCACGTGGTGTCGTGATCTACGTGGCATGCTGATCCATGTAGCTTCGAGTGGCCTCGGGCACTTGGATACACAGCTCTGGCAATGAATCACACGAAGTAGTGGTGAGTGTATGGTAGACGGGTGAGCGTGAGTAGGGCGAGCATGGGCAAGGTGAGGAACGGCCACTTCCTCCACAAACTCGTGGAGAAACTCAAACTGGACGCAGAAAATACCACAAAACTCGCCTCTGGCTTGCTGAAACAGCTGTGCTGAGCTGAACAACAACAGTAACATACAAGTGACTCTGAACACGTGACTTGAGAAACAGCGTGGGCCCGGTAGCGGGGGGTCAGGGGCCCAAATTACAATTCTCGAAAAATTCGGCAAATTTCGGCCTTGGATCCTGCATGTACCGTGTCTGGAGCGAACTGCAGCAAAACTTCAGGATAACTCGTTGAGAGGGATGCGTCTTGCGTGGAGTGATAAAGTAAGAGATTCTTCCTTCCTTCCTCTCCCCCGGGCAAACAATTGCTGCGCCCCCGCTTCCCACCATTTATAACGAGTTTTTGGTTTTCTGCGGGGGGTTCAAATGTACGTCTTTTTCGGAGGCTTCTTCTTTTTTTTTAAGTTGTGGTGGATAACAGGCTTGTGTGTTGTGCCCATGGCCCGGGGCAGGGCCATCCAAGGGGGGGGACTACTAGTAGGCCTTTGTTTTCCTGTGGCTGCGTGTGATTGGGCAGAGGCAAGGGCAGGCGGTGGTGTCCCCACCGAGGGCCGGGACGAGGCACCCTTAGTGCCGCGAAAATGAACTAAGTGGCAGACAGATGGGTTGTCTGTAGACAGTACAGGCTGTCTACGAGTGAACTGGGGCTCAGACTAGGTTACGGTTTGGACCCTCGAATAAAGCCGAGATCGAGGAGGTCCTGTAAGGGGTTTAATATGCAGTGATGTACATAACAAAATATAGAATACTTTTTTTTTTTTTTAAACGTCGGCTTTTCCCCATGAGGCGGGGGACCAAAACGAAAAAAAAAATTTTCATTTCATTCACCCCTTTTCCCATAAATCATACAGAGGTGTAAAACAAAAACTTGATGTCCCCCCAAACTGCATATCCCAAACCCTTCCCCTTTAAAATGCGGTTTGTATTTCCCAAATTTTTTCAGGACTTAGTCGGGCTAAACCAAAAAAATTTTAACATTTATTTTAATAGGCAGGATCTTTTGTCCTTTTTTGATTACCTTATCCTGTTCTTTCTTTTTTTCAACACACCGGCCCCTTATACATTATTAATTTGGCACAGTGATTTTTGGCCCCATTTGGGCCAATATCTAGCTAATATTTATGCAACCACTGTCATCCTCAGAGTTATTTTTGGTTAAAAAGCCTGCCACATGGAGGCGGGGTTTTCTTTTAGAGCCCCTGTAACTTTGTAAATTCATATTTATTGGCTGTAACTAGAGGATTTCTTTATGTGGGTTAGAGCAGGAAAAATATGTATGGGCCTGTGCTCTATGCCTCTGATGCTTGCTTTGATTTTTTCATCAAGTATTTAATTAGAATTTTGCAAGTAAAGAAATACGGGAACCTCAGCTTTCGAATGCCCACCATAAAATTTTCGGGTATGAACCGTCATTGGTGATTTTTTTTCTTTTGGATACGAACGAAATTTCAGGACACAACCCTTTCCCCCCCCCAAGGGAGGGTTCCCTAAATAAATAAAATATTTATTTATTTGCAAAAAATTACAATGTGTGTTTAATAGATTGGAGCAAAAAAAAAGGTGTTTTCATGGAGGCAATTTGGGCAGATTAATTAACCCAAAGTTATAGACGCTTAAAACTAGACAGGTGAAAATTAGTGGTTTTCCCCAATTTTTGCTGTGGTGGTGCCACTTCTGGCAGCCTTTTGAAGTTTCTCCTTAGTACTGTTGTTATTATTATTATTATTATTAAAATTTATTATTATTGTTAAATAATAAAAATAATTAATTTTTATTATTATTTTTAATAGTAGTGTAGTAATTCATGGTGAGGGGCTCTTGACTGAGAATTGGATCTATGTTCGTTCCCCCAAATTAAAATGAATACCTTCCACCCCTCCCTCCTACAAGTGCTTCCCCAATAATAATAATAATAATAATAATAATAATGCATAATCATCATAATAATATAATACATTTAACAATAACATAATAAAAATGTACTACAATAATAATTATAATAGATGGCTTCGAAAGGCCGTCATTAGATGGCAGTGAATACCGCAACAATGCGGGAGCGGTTATGCCCGCCTCCACTTGTCTCATGACGACATATTTTATTCATTCTATTCAGGTTTCTATGTTGTTTATATTGTTTATTATGTCATATTAGATCAATTGTGATAGATAAATAAGCCGTAGTGTTGATATTAGCTCTATATTGAAGTGTATTTTTCCTGCCCCTGAGAGCAGGAATTCCGCTGGAACGGATTAATGGCTTTTCAATTAATTTAAATGGGGAAAATTGATTCAGCATACGAACAAATCCGGATACGAACAAGGTCACGGAATGGATTAAGTTCATGAACCAAGGTTCCACTGTATTTCTTTACTAAAGATAGCAGTGCATTTTACTTGTGTTCTTGTTAAAAGATACGTATTTGCATTTATGTACTTTCGTGTTTAGCATTATTATAAGGTTGCTTATCCTATTTACTCTTCTTTCCCTGAAGCAAAGCTAAAACAAAAAGTGTGATGCTATACTGTATGCCTTCAGTGCAATATTTTAAGATTCTTTAAATTTCATTATGAAGCTGTCAAGAAAAAAAGCATCAGCTTGAGAATGCCAATGAGTAATACATGTATTTTGTATCTGAACAATTTTACTTCGTAATTTCTAATTCACTATATATTTTTTTATACACAGGTTGGACGCATAATTGGTAAAGGAGGTCAGAATGTGCGTGATCTTCAACGTCAAACTGGTTCAGTAATCAAGCTTCCCCAACAAGGATCCACTACTTCAGAAGAAACTACCGTCCACATCGTAGGCCCCTTTTTTTCTGTACAGGTCAGTGTGTGGCTTTCTTTTGTGGGAATTAGATGCTAATTCTTAATATTATTGAAGATAACACTTTCCACTTGCTTTCAGGTAATTTTGTTTGCTTTGGGTTACTCCCCCTTTTATAGAATGGGATATATAATAAGTTGTTTTAAAATAATACCATTGGTAGATGTGATGCTGGAAAAATTATGGTTAAATAGTTGTGGATGCAGTTTACTTGTAGTACTTTCTCCTGGTGTGTCCATACCTAATGTGTTTAACTAAACATGAATACATCACAACAAAGGAAAGCTAATCTTAGCCAAGAGAAGAAGCACAAAGAAAACATAAAGCCATCCAGGATATTGTAAGACCTCAAATATTTCAATATGTATTTAAAATCTAACTTAAGAATTACCTGTAGAATTGGACCATTAATGACAGGAGATTCATACATAGATGATGAACAGGATACAAGGAAAATTCTAAAAAAAAAAAAAAAAAATTAAGTCCTTGTTCAGCAACCCACTATACAAAAGTAAGGTGGGGAAAGCAAAAAAAAAAAATCCCATTCCATCTGAAGACTATGCAGCCCAAGTAACTGACATTAGCACTAGTCCCAAAAGAGTTTGACAAAGAAATAGAAAACATGCTCGGTCATTCAGCACCTGGACCCAATTTGTGGAACTCATTTATAATATGTCTTAAGTACCACTAGCAAGAGCACTCATTTGGAGAGAGCTTAGATCTAGGTGAAATACCAGAGACTTTTAAAGAGTGCATACATAGTCACTTGGAATAAGATACAGTAAATATTACAAAACCAGTTGCCCTAACATCCCACATCATAATGATATCTTGATTTACTACAAGTACATCTACATGGTATACAGGCCTAGCTGATATCAGTGACATACAATATAGAAAGCCCTTTGTTATGCTGAGCATTTTGGGCATATATGTCAGTGTCCCAGGATGCAACCCACACCAGTCGACTAACTCCCAGGTACCCATTTTACTAATGGATGAACATAGACAACAGGTGTCAAGAAACACACCCACTGTTTCTAACCTGGCTGGGAATTGATTCCAAATTCCAAATTTTATGGAACAACACAACTTACACAACCCAGACCAGCGTGGCTTTAAAGCCATGAGATAATGCTTGTCACATTTGCTAAACTACTATGACAGAATTGTGGAGATGCTGGAAGGAAACCACAATGTAGATGTAGAATACAAAGACTTTGCAAAGGAATTTGACAAGTGTAATCATGGGGGTGACTGCACACAAAATGAAGGAAATAGGCATAACACAGAAGGTAGTCAGATTAATTTTCAACTTTCTGACAGAACACAAAGGGTATTAGTATATAAAAGAAAATCAAGCAATAGAGAGGTAAGAAGCTCAGTTCCCCAAGGCATGGTCCTGGTGCCTCAACTGTTTTTTATCCTCATAGCTTACATAGATTAAAATACTTACCACAGTTTTCTATCATCATTTGTGGAGTGCAGCAAGTAAGTATGAAAGTAATTTTGGCAGAAAATGCTTGAAATATTGCAGGGTTTTCCAGTTGAAAACATGACATTTAATGGTGAAAAGTTTCAGCTGCTTAGGTATGAAAAGCAGGAAGAACTCAAAAGGGATACTGTATATTAAATGCAAAAGGATCATCAAATAGAACAAAAGGAATACAGTAGGGCCCTGCTTTATAGTGTTCCATTAATCCAGACATTAAAAATTATGACCAAAACTCTATATATGGCTCCCCCACCTAACTTTCTAATATGGTCACCGTGCCCCACCTGGTTGTTCACATTCTTTGCGAGGCTATTATTTGAAAGGGGAATCCCCTTCCATTAGGACTTCAGGTATCAAGGCCCTATCCAGGGTTACTTTCCTTCTTTGTCTTTTACTGGCACTAGGACCAGCTTGAGAGTCTCTGTACCCCTGTCGCACAAAAAAATCTGTCCAGAGAGGTCTGTTTCTGACATCTCTCTAAGATTTGTCTAAAATGGGACAAGGCTTTGTCATTGAACATGTTGCAGGCACTGTTTGCAACAGCTTTGTTAGGGTGATATTTCTCCACAAAACTTTGTAACTCACTCCACTTTGCACACATGTCCTTAATCACTGATTTCCCGGATTTCCCATACATCCTGGTGAGATCAACCACCCGTACGCCATTTTTGTACTTAGCTACAACTTCTTTTTTGAATTCTGTCGTGTTTCTCGCCTTCTTTATCAAAGGGCTGGCACTCGGAACTTTCTTTGGCCCCATGGTGGCTTATTTAGCAGTCGCACTCAATAAACAAGCATAAAAAACAATGGATTACCCCTTCTCCTGTATTCATTACTAAAGTTAGAGATATTTTTTTTTTTTTTTTGGGCCACCCTGCTTTGGTGAGATACGGCCAGTTAGTTGAAAGAAGAATTATACTTGTGTGTACCTGTACCTAAATAAACTTAATGTGCTGGCATGCATGTACGCATTAAAATCACAGTGTCTCACTAATCTTACTGTTTACTTGGAGAGAGTTCCGGGGGTCCACGGCCCGTATTTTATGTTAATATAGACATTTTCATTAATCCATCTGTGATACTTATTTTTTCAAAATTTTATAAGAAACGTGCTACATAACATGTAAACATGATGCATACACCTCACAGTACAGTAGAATAAATTTGACATAAATATGAGATGTGGTAGCTGGGCACCTTGTCAGAGTGACGGCAAGAATTACGTTTTCTCTGATCCAAAACCAGAGAAAATGTGTACACAGTAGTATTACTGGGGGTAACTGTAGAAAATTATTCCTTTTGTATGCCTTCACTCATAGTTATTCATTTAGTCTACAGCACTAATGTGAAGACAACTTGTTCACAATGTAAATGCATTGTGGGGTAAATGTTTTGCCAACTCATGCAAATGTACTTGTTTGAACCAAAAGTAGACAGGTATTAATATGCCATTCTTCTTACCGAGTGACTCCCCTTATGCCCTGTTTGTTTACATTCTCTCTCTCTCTCTCTCTCCTCTCTAATATATGATGCATCTAAGGGTGGTAGTTAGAAATGATTAAACTCAGTGAACAAGGTATGTCGATGGTAATAATAATTAATCGCTCTGGGGAGCTTTAAATTGAAATCTTATATTTCATGTAGTTATGATAGCTGGTGTGGAAGCTACCACACCTGACTTCCTAAAATAAATACTACTCACCTCTCACCCTACATTAATAAGACTACAAATATTTTTAGGCAAGTAATGAATGTACTGTGTATGTATATTACTTTTTATTGTTTTTAATGCCTAGTTCTACTGTTAATATATATTAGTGTTAACTTGTTATCTGGCCAGAACCTAACCTGCCGTGTAAGTGGGGCCCTACTGTATTGAAGACAAATCCCTTGTGCCAAATAGGAACTGTTAAAATCCACAGGAATATTTATTATTATTATGACAGAGGTACCTTGACTTACAAGTTCCCCAACTTATGAGCTTTCCTAGTTATGAGCTGTCGCTCTGTTGATGTTTTGCTTTGAATTGTGATCCAAAATCTGAGTTATGAGCAAGCTTCAGATATGCCTCCCTGGCTGGTGTGTGGGGAAGTACCCTGGCTGGTGTGTGGGGGAAGTATCCTGGCTGGTGTGTTCTTTCTTGAATTCTATCGTGTTTCTCACCTTCTTTATCAAAAGGCTGGCACTAGGAGCTGTCTTTGGATCCATAGTGGCTTATTTAGTAGTCACACACAATAAACAAGTGCAGAAAACAATGGATTATTACGAAATGTTTCGTATGACCTTGCAGGGTAATGTTCACTCGTCGAGAAACAACGCCACATTGACTCAGAATGCGTGTGTGGAAGGCTGTGTGTGCACACAGGCGCTCGGGCATGTTCTGTACGACTGACAAAACCAGAGAGAATTAACGAAAACGGAGACTATATTTTGACGAAAAAGTCTGCGATAACCGAAAATCACAAAATCAGAGGGTAATGAAAACAGAGGGTCCACTGTATAAAGTTATCACATAAATGCCATTGTTAGAAACTTGTATGTTCTGTTGACTGACTTCAGAATAGCTTTCATATGGATGGAAAAATTAAAAAGTAGAAAAATTTGCATACATTAGACCAGAATTATGTGGTACTGCTGTTGTATCAAAATAAAATAAATACAAAAAATTAAAGACTTGCTATAAGAAGTTCAGAGAGTTAAAAAAAAAAAAAAAATATGGATTATGAAGAAAGACTGAAAATTTAGTAATCCTCATTAAAATAGCACTAAATAACACTGGCACCATCTGAGGGAGAAAAAAAAGAGAATACAATTGTAAATTACGAAAAGTTGTATCAAAAGGGGAAGAGAAAATATTTCTTTACAAAAGAGTGTGGTTACTAATTTTTTGAAAATGGGACCTCCAGATACAAGTAATAATGTACTATACATACATCAGCATAATAAAAGACATTAGCAACCATCCAGTAGAATATGGATTGGAGTATAAACTGTATGAGCTTAGTTTTAAGATATAACTCTCGACTTTGATTCAACTTTACTTTCAGATGTCAAATACACAGCAAGGACTAAAACACTTTCATTCTCATCATATGGTTTACTGACTAAGGTGCCCTTTTTATTTCTATTAACAGTTTTGTTCTTATTTGCAGTCAGCCCAGCGCCGCATCAGAGCAATTATCCAGATGTCAACAGCCCCTAGTAGTGGGCGTATTACCCGGGTACCTTTGACATCACGGATGCAGTGAGGTCATACATAGAGATGACATCGTAAACAAGTTCTGCCCACATGCCAGCGCCACGCCCCAAGCAACATACCAAAGAGACGGAGATGTTGGAGCTTAGGACTGACTGTGTGTGTCGGCGGCTTCCCTCACTTGACCTCGCTTGCTTGCTTGTTTTGCCTCAGGGGCCCAGGCTGGTTGACCTGAGCTTGACTAACACATCACAGATCTCCGGGGGATTGTCTGAAGTAGAGTATTTGCAGTGTAGCTGTTGGATTGATTTGCGTTGATGTATATGTATGGTGTTGTTTTGTTTTATCATAGAATATGATTTTGTTTACAGCGGATGTGAAATGCTTCTAGTGATTGCCTTTCAAGAGATATTCAGGTAATACCTTTGTCTTTATATAATGAGTGTGATGTGCACTTGCATTGGATGTCACCCACCCTGGGCCCCAGACACGAGTTGTGACAAAGGTGCATCAAGTAGCAGAGAGAGCATTGTGTTGTGTAGTACCCAAGCCGATTGTGCACATTTATGTGCATGTAGGCATGTGTGTGCATATGGTAAATGCACCTGAGGCTCCTGTGTTGAGTTCTGACCCCCTGTGTACACTTGTTGGTTGCACCAGTCAATTTCGCGGCCAACAATGACGAGTCATTAGACACTAGGCAACGTATAGCCTTATGGCTTGTGTTGAAGTGGTGTTATCTACTCGTCTAATTAGTGTGGGCACTGTTGATATCAGGGCTCCACTGTTTAGTTAACTAGTACAAAAGTTTGTGGAATATAATGGACCATTGTTATAATATGGTCTTTTTTGTACGCAAAGTTATAGCAAAGTTTATTTTTGATACATTGTTGGAGCAGTTTTTTGTTACTTTTTTTTAAAAGAAGGAAAATATTATAATGTAGCATGGAAAATGCTATATATATAAAAAAAAAGCCTTGTCAGCACTCTCCACAAACCACCTCTCTTCAGGTCAGTAAATCCTAGACTGCCACATTGGGAGACTTGTCATGTTTTCAAGTCAACATTTTCTGCTACTCCATAAAGGTGGACACCATACCACAAATCGACAAGGAAGTTTGAAGAAATTATTACAGGGGATCAAAATTCCGAACTCGCAAAACAAAACAATGTATGCAAAACAGGAAATGATGTATACTCTATGAAATGCCCACTGATTTTGTAGTACCACGAACATTGAAATACTTCACTCAGGTGACTTTAGAAGCTGATTGGTGCAGCACAGGCATGCCGTGTGCTGCATCCGTGACTGGGGTGGTGGCCTGGGACACACCCCACCTCCACTCCACCTGTGCTACCTCACTCCTATGCCAACCTTCACTCCTGTAGCACCAAAGCAATTCCTCATTTGGATCTTTATGCCAGATTCCTTTCCATTGTTTTGTATTGTGCAAATCTCTTATTAAAAAAGCACCGTGAAATACTAATCAGTTGCATTTTATTAAGGGGAATGGTTGCAATGTTTGCCTTTATAAGTATGAGATATGTTCAGCATATAAAATGTTTGATTAATATATAAAATGATATGAATTGGGTCACTGTTTATCCTGTTGAATAAAACAAATCCATTAAATTTTTCCTAAAAGTAGTATTGGCTGTTCATGTTGCATACCTCTTATGGGTGTTTACATGAGTGTTATTGGCTATTGCTGTACCTAATTTTCATTTAATCATTGAGGACTTGCTAGGATGCTATGAGGGCTGAAACCTGCTGCCATTTGCCCCATTTCCAAGTATAGAAGTGTTAAGGGTATAGTTAAAGGAAACTCATGTGATATTGGTTAGTTATATTGTGAATTCACTGGTATCCCAGCATTTTTGGTGACTGCTTAATTTTTTGCTAGAGCATACCATTCAGACCTTAGTTACCTCTCATTGACCAATTAGCAGTTACACCTGGTGGTGTATCTTGGCTCTTTGCAGCCATTCGAAAGACTGGGTTGTCAGAACCACAATTACACATGTTTTAAGTTGTCAACACCATGCCCTTTTCTCTTCTGTGCCTTCATTGTTGGGCAGTAAAGAGGCCATGATTCTAAAACGTAATTTGAAATCAGCTGAGATTTTCTACATAGATTGGCTTTGAAATGTGATTGGCTGTTAATTGTAAACATTGTTAGGTCTAATTATCGGTTTACTACTTTCCTCCACAATGCTGGTTTTAAGCTATGTTAGGTTTCAGGCCAAAGCCTCTGCAGATACATGTTGGTTGTAGGTGCGTTCCATGTAGACGTTCTGATTATGGTTATGAAAAAATTCTATTCTACCTGTATTCCCACTGGACTATATGATATGATTGGTGATTGATATTTAATATCGTATTAGTAAAAGTCACTTACTAATTGCGAAAGGAAATTGATGTAACTTTAAAGTACTACAGTATATCACATCAAAATCGCCAATGGTACCACATTTGTCATTGGTTATGAACAGCACTTGGTTTTTACGCTAGTGTATGTGACAGTTTTCTCTGGATAATCTTCCAGATAACAGGTTTTGAGCCTTATTTTGCCTGGATACTAGTAGAAAAATATGGCAAAAATGAAAGCTTCTTATACTGGTCTGGGAGTTTGGAAATTATTACCCCACAATCACTTTCACACTAAAAGCACACTTTAAATCTTCCTTATACAGTATATCCAAATTGACCCTTTCATATATTTATTTTCTTCAAGTATTCAGACAAAGGGCTCCTTCATAGTACTCTTCAAGTTTGTTTAGCTGTTATGTTTAGATTATGTATTGAGGACTTCTTACCTATCATGGTTCACTTGGAATTAGTTATGCAGCACTTGAAGACTTCCGGGTGGAAAGAAAGAAAGCTCTTTTTTTTCTCTCTCTTTTTGTGAAGGATAAGAACCCTGCTTTATATTATATATTTTATTGAGTGCTCAGTGCTTACTTGCTTTTCCACATAGTACACCAAACGTTTCCTATTTCAAAATCTTAACTTCTTTTTGCTTCCCCTTCTTAATTTTATATATTTTTTCAGTCTGTTTCTCCTTTTGCTTTCTTGTATTATATTTATTTTGTTGATTCTTTTTGAATATAGGGGCAAAGGATACATTACCTCTTTTTTCTCCAGTTTTCTTTCCACTCGCTGGCATGGGAAGATGTCGTCACTGCAGCCCTTGCATAGAGCTGCTTTTGCGATGCCTCCTTTTGTGGGCGGCATTCACAAGTGACGAAGGTGTAGGTGTGACTGGGATTCCTGTAATATAATGAGAGCTATGTTTGTCCTAGCCAATCTTCACCCCACCACTTGTCAGTGCCATGCTGAGGGTTCCATTGTTCCAAGGTATCCCTATATGGCCCATAAATATATCAAGCATCATTTTCTCCTATTTGGTTTCAAGATACAAGGCTATTGTTATAAATGATTTAAATCATTATCAGATGAATTATTGTCTCTATTATAGTTTTTAAATGATTTGAGTGTTACCACTTGAACATATCTTGTTCTTGAAACCAAATAGAAGTTAGAGTGCTTTTTGATTTTTTGAAAGTTACATATGTATTGCCTGGTGGCCATGTAGTCCAGACTGTTGCTGTTTGGCCATTTGTTATTGGCAACATTGGATGGTGGCATTCAGGTGGGTAGCTGTAACTCTGGGTTGCTGTGGCTTGTGCCTCAAGATAGGGCATGCATAACTTACCCATCCCGTTTTCCACGGTGCCTCTAACTTTTCTCCTAACCCCTTCTCAACCTCCTAAAAGTCCAATAGTCATTTGGTCCTGGGTTGATCAGTGTTCTATTCATGCTGGCCACATCTCATTGGAAACAATACTAGCTTTGTTCTGGAGGATGCCTCAGTACAACAGGTTTGGCTCACGTGCCCGGTCTGTATCCCCTCCTAACCCAGCGGTGCTCCCACATCAGTGTACAAAGCATCAATTTCGCCGCCTCTGCACCTCCCACCGTGTGCCTCGCACCGCTGTTGCTGTTGAAGGGGGACTCACCTCAGCCAAGTCACTACTTAAATCTTAAGCCAACCTGGAGGGGCATCCTTCCACATTTTGCCTCTGCCGTAACCAGTCAGTCTGCCTGAAGCTGAGCTTAAATACCAGATTTTGGGCCTGGCACTACCATCACCACTACAATTACCTCTGTCCACCACCACCACAACTACTCCACAACTATCACATTTGGGTACCAGCCACTGCTTTTCCTCTACTGGTTCAAGTAATAAACAATTTCAGGTTAAAAAAATATTTCATTTGACTACCTTGATATAAAATAAATTCAGATAAATGACATTCCTAAGTAATACAATTGTTGCTCCATGTATTTGTGGGATTGGCACAAAATAAAAGATATTGCAGAATTTTTAGTACAGTAATTGTCAAAGACTCCCAATACTAAGCAATCCACTTGAAAATTGAAAGTTGTGTTAATACTCATTGTACATGGGAACTTTTGATGGGCAGAAATAAAGTTATTCAGTTTGAATATGAATTTTCTAAAATAATAATAATATATTATTATTATTTATAATAATATTATTATTATTAGTATTATCAAAAGAAGTGCTAAACCGCAAGGGTTATACAGCACAGCAGGGCAGGGAAGAATGCAGGGGAAATGGGTGGCAAGAGATTAAGGTAGAAAGGANCAAAGGAGAGTGCTAGAGGCATCATCATCAGAGTTTGTGTAGTAAATCAGTCAGTGTCAAAAAGTCAATGAGAGAGTTGGATTAAAGGAGGGTCCATCAGCAAGAAGGGAAGGTAAAGAAAGGGCAGCAGAGCGGAGACGACGTCGGAGGTGAATTTTGCATGCTTGTTGATAGTGGACAGTCCAACAGATACGGGAATGTGACAGTTCTCAGAGAGGAACAGGGTGCCTCTCCACGAGATACCTGTGAGTAAGACTAGTGTGGCCAATGCGAAGACGGGACAGAGTTGTCTCCCAACCCCAACGCTGATGACAAGAAGACTGCCAGAAACCTGACAGAATGAAGTTTGTTATGGAGCAGATCAGACCAATGTTGTTGCCACCGGGTGCGAAGGTGGGTAGCAATTTCAGCAAAATAGTCTGTGAATGGAACACCTCTATATGAAACTTGGAGGTCATGTACTGCTGACTGCACAGTAGTGTTTGCCTGTTCATTGCTCTGTACATCAACATGACCAGGGACCCAGCAAAAAACAATATCTTTTAGTTTGCTAGAGATATGGCATAGCCAAAGTTGGTTATGAAGAACTAGGGGGTGAGGTGTATCAAATTTTCGTATAGCCTGTAAAGCACTCGGGGAGTCTGAAACAACCACAAATGGTGACACAGGCATAGATGCTATACGGATAAGTGCTACAAGAATGGCATACAGTTCGGCCGTAAAAAATAATTGATAAATCTATTCAGTAATCTCTCTTGGATGTGTAGTGTGAAAGGTTACCATGGGCAGATATATTTTCATCATGAATGATAAAGTTGTAGAGGTCACACAGCACCTGTGGAATGGGAGGTAACTGGGTTTGAGTCACAGAAGGGAAGCATAGTTCAAATTCCTTGGTTCAAAAGACCTTAACTGGCATCAAGGCAATTCCTTGGCAGTTAAATGGCTTTTTAATTTTCAGTGGGTGTGATCTAGATTGTTTGGGCCTCTATGCCAGAAAAGCCATAGCTATTGAAATTAATTGAGCAGAGATACTTTCATATACCTTTCCATTAACCTTGGTGCCATTAGCATGTTAGTGTTTTATAATTTTAGGTTTGGTCATGAATAGGAAGATGGAGAAATTTTTATTTTTGTTAGTGAACTTTTGGACCTCAAGGTTAGCAAGCTACATGCCTATTCTAAGGTCATGCCACAGTGGACCATTTGTCATTGCATACCAACCACCTACTGTTTCTTCCTTGGTGAGAGGATTAACAATTGATGCCTTGGTCCGTACTGATGGGATTTTCCTTGCGAAGGTGCTTTAACAGTGGTGAAGGGCTCTTGATTAAATGAATTGGATCAAACCTGACTGTCTCCCATTCCCCAAGTTCTGTATGACCTCTGCTGGTTTAAGTGATTCCTCATAAATATAATAATCCTCACAATGATGGCAAGGGGCTCAACTAAATGCTGCTTCCAAGGTTATACATTGATACTGGTGAAGGACTCTTAAGATTCATGAAACTGGAGCTGCACTTTCCATGGATCAAACCCGTTTATATTCCTGTTCCCCAGGTGCAGTATGACTTACAGGTTTAGCATTTCCCTTTTTCATATACCTCACTTGTTGTGCCCCTTCATACTTAGCATTTAGTATGTGATCAATTTAGTACTTGTGTTGTTATTTGGTTTAGCACTTGATTATGTAATTATTAGTGCTTTCTTGTGAATGTAATACAGTAATTGACTGGCAGATTACACTAAATTTTAACCCTTTGGGGGTCGACAGGTCCTCTCAGAGACTTGTTCTTAGGGTCGGCCAAATTTCAAAAAAAAAATTAATTATTTTTTTCTTATGAAAAGATAGAGAATCTTTTCCTGATCATAATGACACCAAAAGTGTGAAATTTGATGGAAAACTTACGGAATTATGCTCTGGCGAAGTTAGCGGTCTTGACGATGTTTACGCATCGGCGATTTTGCCCACTTTGAGCCTTATTTTCAGCCAATTCAAGTGTACTAGTCAACAAAAATCATAACTATTTCGCTAGAACTCTATTTTTCCTATCGAATGAGTACAAGAAACCATCCATTTACTGATAGCAACTATTGAATAAAGTGGTCAGAATTTAGCAATTTTGCCAATTTCACACAAATTTCAAAAGATACCAATTTTTGAATAGGGTCCAGAATAAACAAAAAAGACATTCCTGGCACTAAAATAACAAGTTCTCTGTTTGTTAGTCACATCCCCAGGCCCCTTCTTATATTTCTTTGGCTTTCCACTTTGAATTTTTATTCTTTCAAAAAAAATTAAATTTACTGTTATGCAGACTACTGCATTAGTGTAGAAATGGTATAAATAATATCAGTGCACTTGTGAAAGAATATTAGACTCACCAGTTGATGTGTATTGGATGTTTGGCATGATTTGTTTACTTTCGAACTTTGGTAAAAATCGAACATTTCTCCTACTTTGAGCTCAATTTCAAGGTACTTTTCATTGTAAAACCAGTCAAAATCATCTCAATTTCTGTAATATGTCTTCCATTCTATAAAATAAGACCAAGAAAACTAGAATAAAACAATATATACCATATGAAAATACAGTGCAAAGTCGCTGTTTTAATCCAAAAACATGGTCAAAGTTTTTTTTTCTCATGCACTGTGTGCTGCAGGATTTTTTTTATACTGCGCACACTGACCACATAGACCCATTCTTTGATATGTAGGCCTACCAGCTTTCTCTCACTAGATTTGAGGGCGCTAGAATTTAGGCGTACTAGTACATCAAAAACCCTGGGTCGTAAGACGTACTAGTACGTCCGAAACCCCCAAAGGGTTAAGGAATCTTTATTCAATAGTTTGTCATGAGTAGAATAAAAGGCAAATTATTAGTGGATGAGAAATTTCCTGTTTCAAGGAAAGTGCAAGTTAGTGTCTTTGTGGGATAATAATATATCTTTATTTCTACAAGTAGATGTACGAAGTATACAGGCCTAGCTACCATCAATGACATACTACTATATAGAAAGCTCCTTGGTATGCAGTGTGTTTCGTGCAAATTAGGTCAATTTTATCTCAGGATACGACCCACACCAGTCAACTAACACCCAGGTACCCATTATTACTGATGGGTGAACATAGACAACTGGTGTAAGGAAACATGCCCAGTGTTTCTACCTTGACTGGAATCAAACCTGGAGAACTCGCCATGTGAAGCAAGAGCTTTTGCCACCAGGCCACGGGTCACCAGTTGATTTCAACACCCCTTGAAGGATGTTCCTTGAGGCTGGTGAGGGGCTCTTGATCTAACTAAACCTATGCTCCAGTTCCATGAATGAGCTTAAATGTCTTACATTTCCCCAGGTGGTATATGACCCCTATGGGTTCATGGGCACACAAGATATGGGTTCATATCTTGTGTGCCTCTGCAGAGACAGTGATAGTGTGAATGATGGTGAGTTTTTTTTCTAGGAGGGGGGGGTTCTCCCTGCCTTGGGAAATGGCCAGTGTTACAAAAAATATATCAACATGTTTGCTGGTAAAGCAAGAGAAATTTGATACGTATATGGCTGTTACTGATAGTCGTTATACTGATTTCTATTTAGCTTATAAGGAAAAAAAAGCTCTTGCTCATTAGTGGGCTGCTAAGCATTGTTTTGTGGGTGTGCCTATGTGTATCTCCACTTTGAGCTATGCTACTTCTATGATGGGAGCTTGGAAAAATGGTGTGGTTTTAATGGGCAAGTGTTACCTGCTAGACTACTACTATACTTAATGTTCCCATTGAATTAGCAGATCCTTACAATTTTGTGTTTACATCAATAACAGCCTCTTCCTTTACTTCGTTCCAACTAAAGGCATACCATTAAGATACTTAGCACTTCCTTGTTTCTTCTAGTAATCAAAGGATTTGCCATAATGTTACTTCAAGGAATTGAGTCTTCTCTATAAGTGGGTGATGTTTGCCACTGACTGTGCACATACAAACATTTGGTAGATTGCTTTAGTACAATATGCAATCGACTATATGTACTTCCTGCAGCACTGTATTACTCTGGCAGTTGGGCCTCATTTAAATTATCTTGCACAATTTTGGTCACCATATTACAGAATGGATATAAATGCACTGGAAAACTTACAAAGGAGGATGGCAAAGTTGATCTTATGTATCCAAACTCTTCCCTATGGGGATAGACTGAGGGGCCCTGAATCTACACACACTAGAAAGGCATAAAATTAGGGGGAATATGATTGAGGTGTATAAATGGAAAACGGGAATAAATAGCATGCTAAAAATATCTAGCCAAGACAGGACTCGCAGCCATGGTTTTAAGTCTGAAAAATTCAGATTCAGGAAGGATATAGGACAGCACTGGTTTGGTAACAGAGTTGTGGAACAAACTCCCGAGTACCATCATAGAAGCCAAAACATTGTGTAGTTTTAATAATAGGCTAGATAAATACATAAGTGGGTGTGAGTTGGACGTGACTAGCGTATGCTAATAAGACATGACCTGACCTGACTAGGTTGCGTCATTGGCTTAAGCCGGTAGGAGACTTGAACCTGCCTCGCATGAGCCAGTAGGCCTGCTGCAGTGTTCCTTCTTTCTGTGTTCTTATGTTTAGCACTTAGTTTTGATTATAATAATAATGATGTTGAAGGGCTTTTGATATGAAGAATTGGAAGTGCCTTTCCTTGAATCAGTCCCATGGTGCTGTATATTTCCCATGGATTTTAGTTTTTGATTGCAATAATTGCCATATTTTGTCGACATAAATTTTTGTTTTAGATTTGGCTTATTTTGTGTGTCAGAGGTCATATCTTTTTATAAATCCCTCTGATCTTGTTAATGTGAAAATTCACAAGAAGGCCAAAAAAATACACTTAGTTATGGGAAATCCATTGAATACATTTTGAACAAAATCCTAAAATCTTGTGGTTAATTTTCAATTTAGGAGTCGCATGCCGAGCTTAGAAGAGTGCACTGTAAGTAACAGTTGGATAATCGAAGCCCACAAATTGGGGGGTTTGACTATTTCTAAGTTTATACATCTACTCTATAGAATGGGTTTAGTACTCCCCATGAATAGGGAGATTTGAGCCTCTATGAGAGAAGTCCCTTGATGCTTGTGAGGGGCTCTTCATAACAAGAATTGGATGTATCCTCCCTTGAATTCTACCTGATTGCCTCCCGTTCTCCAGGCATTGTATGACCCCCTGTTTAGTGTTTCCTCTAGATGGTGATATAGTCTTCAGGGATTGCATCTGTGTTAGGAAGCTTTTCTTCCCCATTCAAAAACTTTAATGTAGAAGTAGGTATGGGATTGCCAAGATACTGATTGTTTCCCTGTTCAGTTTCATGGCCTATGATCTACATTATAATTATAGGGAAGTGCTAAACCCATGGGATTATACAGTGCAGGGGGGATGGTAGGTATTCAGGCTCAATTCAGGGAACTGGAATACAGATCTAATTCCATAGATCAAGAGCCCCTCACTAGCATCAAGGAACCTCCCTTTAAGGGCTATGACCTGCAGAATTACTGCATCACTGGCCTCAACCAAATTGACAAATTGTATGGTCAGTCATCTTGTCTTTGTTGTGTCCCTTTGGTCCCTTCATGTTACCACAATCTTACTTTTCCCTCCCACCTTGAGAACTCCCACACATTCTTTGAGTATTTCCAAACACACTCATGCTACCAATGAGAACACAGTGGTTCCAAATAGAAAGATGAAGTGAGATATACAGTACAGCCATTTTTTTTTTAAATTGCATGATTCAAGGATGCTTGTTGGACACAGCCTGTATTTTTACAACAGAGGTGTATGCAGTTCTCACCATCTTCCAATTTCAGTTTACCGTATTGGACTGTCCTGTCTTTCAACAAGCAAGCAGAATTTTCCCATGACATCACCACCATCCCTCCGTGCTGATGGCCCCTCCTTTGACACTGACTCCCTTTTTGACAGCAACAGATTTATTACACAAACTTTGATAATACTTCCTTTAGCACTCCTCACAGCCATTTCTAACTCTACCTCTGTTATCCTCTTCACCCTTGCTACCCTATGATCCAGCATCACCCCTTGCCCTGCAGCACTGTATGACCCTATGGGTTTAGCTCTTCTTTTTTATTATAATAATTTATCGCTACTATGTCTGCCACATTACAATCTCAAACCAACACTGTATGAGTTATACGAGTTTAGTGCTTATTTTTAATATGAGGTCCATTGGGCTCAATTCAAGGGAAGTGAGGATATGTCCAATTCTTTGGGTCAAGAGCCCTTCATCCAAGCTAAGAACTACCTGTGGAATTGAACTATTAATGAGAGGAGACTCGTGTATTGATGATGACCAGGAAACGAGTGAAATTCTAAAAGAACAGTACGAGTCATCGGTAATCCACTAAATGAAAGCATGGTAGAGAATGCAGAAACATTTTTCACCCCAGCGGAAGGCCATGCAGCCCAACTCATTGACATAGTACTAATTCCAAAGATTTTGAAAAAAAAAAATTGAAATATTGCCCAGTTAGCACTCAGCACCTGGACCAGATTCGTGGAATGCCCTATTTGCAAAATAGTGCAAAATACCATTAGCAAGAGCCCTCGGTATTTGGAGAAAGAGCTTAGATATAGGTAAAATACCCGAGACCTTAGAGAGTGCAGACATAACTTTGCATAAAGGACCCCTCAAGGGAGGTTACTTGACACTGGTGAGGGGCTCTTGATCTAGGGAATTGGATTTGTGCTCCAGTTCCCTGAATTTTTTTTTATATTTTATTTAAAACAAACATTACAATAAATAAATAAATTATACAGTGTCAGAATATTTCACATACAAAACAAATTTTGTTCCTCATAAGCAAAACACACGCACTATACATTGCCTTTAAGAAAAATTCCTCTTCACAGACTCGTTACAACCCAACACATGTGCGAAAAACAAGATTACACATATTAAAAAATAAAAAAAAACCCGACATCAGTCCATTTCAAGTTAAAATAAGTCACCTAGTACACTGCAAAACACCTGATAGATGTAAAATGCCTTTAAAAAAAAACAAAAGGAAAACTTGAAGCAAAAAATTTAAAAAAACAATTCTCAAATTCCCCCTTCCACAAATATAACTTAATTAGGTAAAACATGAAATAATTTTTAATTTGAGCACTCACCCCATCCCCAATAGCCTTTAAATTAAGCACATTCAAAAACAATTTTTTTGGGGCAGTTGAACAAACCCATTCCCCCCTTTTTATGACCCAAAATTTTTGGGAAATCTCCCTTTTTCTTGAATACAAACAATATTTTTTTTTTATTTTTTTATTATCACAGGGGCCCGATTCCCCCAAGGCAGGGTGGCCCGAAAAAAAAAAACTTTCACCATCTTCCTCCACACTGTCTTGCAGAAGGGGTGCTTTACAACAGTTTTTAAACGAAAACATTAACACCCCCCTTTCAGAGTGCAGGCACTGTACTTCCCATTCCAGGATCAATCGGCTGGGGTTTCCCTAAACCCCTTCAAATGTTATTTTGTCACACTCCAACAGCACTCAAGTATTAAAAACCATTTGTCCTTTCACTCCTTCAACACGCCACCATCCGGGGAACAAGCCCCTCGACACAAAACCTCCTTTTTACCCCCTCCCTCCCCCCCTTTCCCAGGCCGACCCCCCCCCCGCCCCCTTTCCCCTACAGACTGATACACTCTTAAGTCATTTTGTTTCGCTCCATTTTCTCTACAGTCAACCACCCCTCAACAACCCTTCCTCAGCCCCCTTGACAACTTTTTTGGAATCCCGCACCCCTCCTAACTTCCCAAAATACGAAAATTTTCCCGATTTTATTCCCCAAACAATTTCCCTCAGAATGACATCTCCCCTGCCTCCGCCCCTCCTGCTGCAAAATTTATCACCCCCGCTTTCCAACCCAAAATAAGAGCGTTGGTAAAACTTACTCCCCTACTTCCCCCCTTTCCTCCCAAACAAAAATTTTTGTCTCCACCCGACTCCAAGTGCACCCCTCCTCTTTTTTCCTCATAAATTTCAATTTCACCTCATCTTTCTGACCCACCGCTGACACGTCCCTCCCCAAAATTCGAATACTTCACCTCCTCCAACCTCTCCCCCCAATCTGATTTTAAATTCTTTCATCACCTAATCTTTTTGTTATCCTATAACCTTACTTTTTCCTGTATTCCCCTTTAATTTTCTTCTTTTGCACCCCCAAAACCAAATTCTCCCCCAAATCCTCCCAACTTTCTTCAAAATTCCCAAAGCACAGTGTCATCAGCAAAGAGCAGCTGGACAACCCCATTTGTGTGTAAATTCTTTATTTTTTTAACTCCACGCCTTTTCCCAAGACCCCGCATTTCTTCTCTTACAACCCCATCATAAATTTTAAAAAAAACCCCGGGTGACCCCAACATCCTTGTCAAAGCCTATTTTTTACGGGAAAAAAAATTTCCCTCTTCCTACATCCAAACTTGGCCCTCACTATCCTCGAAAAAAACTTTCACTGCTTTCAGTAACCTACCTCCTACCCCCATACACTTGCAAATTGCCACACCCCCCCTATCCACCCTGCATACGCCTTTCCAAATCCATAAATGCCACAAAGACCTCTTACCCTTACAAATACGTTCACTTATATGTTTCACTGAAAACACCGGGTCCACCACCCCCTACCTTTCCAAAACCTCCTTGTTATCTGCACCTATTCCCGTTTTACTTTTAATTCTTTCAATTAAACTTACCTACACTTTACCAGGTACACCAACAGACTTATCCCCCAAATTTTTTTTGCACTCTCTTTTATCCCCTTTGCCTTTATAAAAAGGAAAATGCATGCTCTCTCCCCAACCCCTGGGTACCTTACCTCTTCCATACATTTTTTAAAAATAATTGCACCAACCACTCCAAAACAAATCCCCCCCTGTTTTTAAAATTTTTCCCTTTTTTTATCCCATCAACCCGGGCTGCCTTACCCCTTTTCTTTTTACCACTCCCTCACGAACTTCCCCACACTCACACTGCTTTTCTCACCCCTACAAGATGTTATTCCCCTTGCCCTATACCAAAATCACAGTTTCCCCTTTCTTCATCAAATTTAAAAATTTCCCTCAAAATTTTCCCCTTCCATTTCCCAATACCTCTAACTCTCCATTTATAACTCTCCTCTCCTTTTTTTTTAACTGACAAATCCATTTGTTCTCTAGGTTTTCTTAATTTGTTAATTCACTCCAAAATTTTTTCTTTTTTTTCAACAAAAATTTTTTGAAAACTCACCCACTTTCATTTGCCCTTTTTTTTACATTGCTTCCCACTCTTTTAATTCTCTTTTTTTCCATATCTCTTCCCCCTCCTTGCATACTTCTATTTTGTAAAAACTTCTCATATCTAACTTTTTCCCCCTTACTATCTCTTTAAACATCATTCCACCTCGCTCCTCTTCCCTCCTGACCCACTTCCTGAAACCCACAAACTTCTGCTGAAAACTCTAACACACATTTTAAACTACCCCCTACCCCTTCGACCCCATTGCCTAGCTCTCATACCCCTCTATCCTCCAATACTGTTTTAATTTAACCCAATGCCCCTCTTTTATTTTTTAAACCTTCACCTCCTCTTCCCCATGCTTTTATTCCTTTATCCAACTCCTTTTACTCTCAGTGTACTACAAATAAAGGATTGATATATCTTGGCCCCTTTAAAAAATTTCATCCTGAAGTCTACTCAACATCTTTTATCTACCAATACATAATCCCCAAAAAACTATTTCATTTCGCCCCACATCATATGTGTATACTTATTTATCCCCCTTTTTTTTAAAATATGTTTACCAAAACTAAACCCCCTTTTATACAAAGTCAATCAAAGGGCTCCCATTATCTTTACACCTGGGACCCCCCAAAATTTCTCCACCCCCCTTTAAAAATTTTTTCCTACTTTAGCTTCAAGTCCCCCACCCAATTTTTCTCACTTGGTTAAAGGCTCCATACATTCCTTAACATCCCAAAATCTCTCTCTCTCCTCTGCATTCCTCTTCTCCAGGGGCATACACGCTTATTTTGACCCACTTTCGCACCCACCTTTTCTTCAATCCCCATAATTTTTGAATTTTTAAACATTCATATTCTCTTTTTTTCCTTCCCAAAAAATGATCATTTAACATTACTGCTACCCCTTCCTTTGCTTAACTCTCTCAGAACTCCAGATTTAACCCAATTTTTTTCCCCCCACTGAAACTCTCCTACCCCCCTTTAGCTTTGTTTTTGCTTAGGGCCAGGACACCAAATTCTTTTCTTCTAAAATCAGCAATCATCTGTTCTTGTCATCCCCTACATCCACCACATTTTAAGCATCCCAGTTTTTTAAAGTTTTTCTTCTTCTCTTTTTTTTTAATTGTTACAGGGAAAGGGGTTTCTAGCCCATTTTCTCCCGGGTTTTTTCCCTCTACAACCATGGCTTGGAGGAAAGATTCTTTTCCACTTCCCCATGGACAATAGAAAATAAAAAGAAACAAGAGTATTTTGAAAAAGGAGAAAAAACCCCAATGTATGATAAATTTTATATGCATGTGGTGCTGTGAAGTGTGACCAAATGAAGTAGGGGAGCAAGATTCCCTGTTATCTTAGCATTTTATGAGACGAAAAAAAAACCAGCAATCCTCCATCATGCAAAACAGTTACAGGTTTTTGTTTCACAGTCATCCTGGCAGGACGTAGTACTTCCCTGGGTGGTTGCTGTTACCAACCATCAAATTTAACCCCAGCATAGACTTGATGACAAAAAACATCTTTTTCCAAAAATATGGGGTTTGGGCTTTTTTTTTTATTATAAAATTTCGCTATAGTCGCACATTACAATCCAAACCAAACTGTATGAGTTTACAGTTTAGTGCTTTTTTTAATATGGGGTCCTTGGGCCATTAAGGAAGTGAGGATATTCCAATTTTTTGGGGAAAGGGCCCCTTCATCCAAGCTAAGAACTACCTGGGAATTTAACTATTAATGAGAGGAGACTCGTGTATGATGATACCGGGAAACGATAAAAATTCTAAAAGAACAGACATCATCGGTAATCCTTTAAATGAAAGCATGGTAGAAAAATCAGAAACTTTTTTCCCCCCAGGGGAAGGGCCCCATGCGCCCAACTCATTGACAAGTACTAATTCCAAAGATTTTAAAAAAAAAAAAAAAAAAAAAAAAAAAAAAAACCCCTCAAAAAGGGTTCCTTGATTTTGGTGAGGGGCTCTGATTTAGAGAATTGGTCTGTCTCCTTTCCCCCGAATAACCTGTTTCCCTTTCCACATCCCCCCCCCCCAGGCGCTGTAATAATCTCCGGTTACGCTCCCCTTGTTATAAAATAAATTGAAAAAAATAAAATTGAATATGCC